TTATTTTTACAAACTGTATAAGAGAAGAGGTAATATTTTATGAGTTTTCAGTTATACACTCTTTATCTAATTTACATTAAATTATTTAATTACAGTGTTCCACTTAAAAATATGAAGATATTTCTTATTTATACTGTTTCGTTTTAGCTTATGACATTGAATATTTTCAATTTCAAATATTTCTTTTATACATTACACCAATTTGTAAGTATAAAACATTATATTCATTATAAATTCTTTATTTCTGATATTTAATTACGATTTTGCAATAAGCAATATATTAGAAAAATATTTAATAAGAAAATTAAAATATGTATTAAAAAAATTTATAAGAAAATTATCAAATTCGAATTGTATTTCTTTTAAACATTTTTATAGATTCAGAAGTTTATTGTTTTTTTGGCTGAATAGTTTAACGATGAAAATTTTAACCACTTTGATTTTACAGTCATTTGCCGGGTATATAAATTGCTGACTGTTCATGTTATATAAATCCGACTTTCATGAGTTGAAACTTTACATTTAAACTCAATTAAACTGATCCCTGGTATGTAGAGTAATCTTTTTTAAAAAAAATTTTGTTTTGCTTTTTCCGTTCCCTTATACCCTTAGAATTAATGTAGAAACCCACTTTACCATTGGCAGGTTTTCTCAAACACACACTTTTTTAAACTGGCGGACATGATTCCGATCGTACCACTCAACCGATTTGCTTAATTTTTTAAATGTTCACAAAACGGCTAGCTATCGTCCCTATAATATTTATAGTTTATTGACAATGTTATGACCAAATTTATGTAAAAAAACATGGAGAAAAATTAAAAAAAAAACGCTAATTACCTTTTTATTTATCAACATTTTTCCATCATTCTATTAGGGACGATAACCATCCACGTACTTTTTAGGAATAATTTGGGTTGTTGTGTTTCAGATGACTCAAACATGAGAAATCGTGTCCGTCACGCCAAGAAACGCATCTCATTCATCCAACCACTTCTCCGACAGATGTCATCAAAAAATTCCGAAAAAATTTGTTTACTCCACGGTATACATACCTCATGATATGTGAAAAAAGTATTACTGTAGAATAAAAATTTCTATGAAAAAAAAAAAATGTCAAAAACAGGCCGCATTACCCTACTGACCCCTTAACTTATTTTGATGGTATTCGACAAATTATTTTTAAAGGTGAGAAATTACATGATTCTCTATTAATAGCAATAATATATCTTAAGCTTTTAGTATTTTGGATTTGTAAATTAATTTACGTTCATATTAATCATTAAAAAGTTATCTGATACTGTCTATGAAAGTTTTTATAATGATACACATACATATATTAAAACAAAAAATTGAATAAAGAATTCCACTCCCCATGTTTTTCATTTTATTATTTTTTGTGAAAAAAAAAAAATAGTCTGATAGTGTAAAGAAATACCTGAAAAATGTTGATTTTATTGTATAAGTATGTGAAATACTATTTATGAAATTATGCTAATAAGTAGGTATATTCTATTAAGTTGAAAAATAAATTTAAGCATAAAATCTTAACCCAGTGTACTATTTTTCATTTGCGATTTTACATTTCTACTTAGTATCCATAAACCCAAGTTATCTCTTCAATATTTCTTATAAACGAACAAAACATGTACTTCTTCGTTATACTGTACCCACCTCCCATTTAAATGAGGGTGTATGTATGCATGTACAAATGTACATTGCATGTAATATGAGCAAGGTGCAAAAGAGCACACGAATATGAAACAACGGCGACAGAGGTATTCATAAAGCTCTCCATAGCGCAGACACCACTATCAGGTGTAACAGTAACAACAAACAAATAATAAAGAGCACCAACAAATCACACTAACTTGTTACAGAGTAAAATTTGCAATATGTATTTGTTGTAGTTATAAAAATTGCAAAATATGTAGACGTGAATAAATGAATACAAGTCAATGCTGGCAGTCCAACAAGCAAGCACCCTGTTGAAAGGTATTGGCACCAACAGCAAGAAGAAAAAATAACACGACTAAAAAATCAACAACGGTATACGAAGTCCACAGCAGCGAACACCGATTGACTGCACAGAGTGTGTTTACGGAAGGAAATGTTACTGGTGTGCATATACATACTTGTATGTTTACAGAGCAGAGTGCATGTAGACGAGCACAGAATGTAGTGGGAAATTAGTGCCAATAAAGAAAACAACACTGCTTTGGCTCATAATTCACTAATCGAAATCATAAATGTACATGCAAGGAGTAGCAGCAAAGTGCAGTTAACAGCGCAGTCAACTGTGCAGTCAACACTGACGTCAATAGCGCAGTAACAGCGCCTAGTGAACAGGTAAATGCTGTTACCAGTGTATAGACAGACGAGTGAACTTGTCGTGCGCTGTTGCAAAAACTATATTTGTTGTTGTTTATACTGATATCTGTTTTTCTTATTTGTCAGTGCTTTATTATTGTAGAGAGCAGCAATAAGATAATTACATTACCCGAAAGTGGTGGGTGTGAGTGAAAAAGTCTGCTACATGTAGTTTGCTGTCTGACTGTCCTGTCACTGACTCTGTGAACTGTCCGTGCAGTGAACCGACTGTATGTGCACGAAGGTGAGCGACTGCATAACAGTGTTCAACGATTTACAGTAGTATGAATGAGACAATATGCGCCTATTGGCAGTAGCGTGGCGTGTGTGTGCATGTATATGCATGCATGTGTCATATGGGAATTATTGGTATAAAAATATGATGATGGAAGAGAGCAGCGCAAGCAACAACAGCAAGTAATGAGTGCATGCATATATGAACTGAGCGCAGCGCACTGTGTTTATGACTGAATAATTGTGTGAGTGTGCATGCTAGCAGCACCAAATGGCGTTGGGTAAAAAGAGTAAGCGAATATGAAAAATATTATTGAAACATATAGCAATAAGTGTGTGAGGTGAATGAATATGAATAAAAATGGATGAATGCATATGTGTGCGGGTATGAGTGGATTGCTGCTGAGAGACAGGTCGCATGATTATATGAGTATGGAATTATATGGTTTTTTTCAACCACCTAAATAAAACTTAATGCTTGCTTGTATGGCGGTGAGAGGTGGTAGCATAAAAAAGTAATAAAATTGTTGCAAAGTACGAGCCCCGCAAACAGTGAGCGTATGAGCAGTGAATGGCAAAGTATAGGTGTGCGCGCTTATGTGTTTGTATATGTACATACGTATACAGTGTATATGAATGTACCGTGTATACATATACATCATAGGCAGCGCAATAAGAGTCGTTTTTGGACTGATCTGTTTTCGAGCAGGCCATAAGCACCACAAACGACGCTGGCGTCGACGTCAGCGTCACTGTCGCTATGCCTTAATTCTTATTGTGAAGGCGACGCTGACGCTGCTCGCAAGCGGTGTATTTTGTATATTTTTGTTTGAGTGACTTTTTGGTCGCTCGATTATTATTGTTTGTGTCAGTGCTATTTTGACGCGCGTGCTGAACGTTCGTACATTAGAAGTGTGGTACGGTGATTTGATGATGTGTGGCGTTTCGTACACGAAAAGAACTCAGTACAGAAAATAAAGGAAGAAGTAGTGATAGTAAAACGTAAGAAATAAGTAATCAACGTGTTGCATCGAGAGTAATACATAGTGTGTTTGCAAGGCGGTTAGACGTTACGCGAACTGATAATTGATTGATGGCATTGAATTTAGTTAACTGAACGTTAAAAGTGTGAATCAGTGAATTTATATACGAATTTCTTAACGGATTTTTACACACAAACAACAATTATTATAAAATGCACGAAAAAATATTTAAAAAAATATAAAATAAAATAAGTTTAATAAATTAAATAAGTGACAATCAGTAATAGCGAAAATAACTCTAATTTTAAATAAATAAAAAACAAAAAAGCGCTAAAGTGAAAGACTAAGCAAAACTGTAAGCTAGTAAAAATTAGTCAAATAAAAAATTGCCGACGGCAAAACCAAAGGCAGCAACAGTAAAATTTTTAACAACCTAAATAGTTTGATAACAACAACTGCAGATTGCAATTACACATTTGTAAGCAACGCGACATTAAATGCTTGCATTACAATTGGTTGCCGCTGAGGAGCATGTAAAATAAATTGCCGGTTATAGCAACAGTGTTCTGAACGCTGAGCGCTACAAAGTGTCCAAAACAACCACAATCACAACAACAACACATCAGACTCGCAGAAATACGCTCCCATTATATATGCGTACATAATACATATGCAAGTAGGCGCAAGCGTACGTGTGTGTGTGTTTGTGTAATAAGAGTAGCACTGAAAAGTCACATAACATTGGTAGGCTGCAGGAGGCGCTAGCAGCAGCGCAGTAGCAGCGTAACAGCGACGCAACGCCAATACGATTTTTCATCATCAGCGGTGAAATAACACAACAACACAAACAAAAAAATAAAATAACAGTAACAACAACAGCAGCAGAATCAGCAATCTAACATTAAGTACACACATGAGAACGCGCAGCAGCGGCAGCAACAATAGCAACAACAGCAAATAAATTAAATTGTAAGCAACAGCGACACACGGAATTTATTGATATTACACATTATGAGCGGTGGCGAGCATTATTAAAGTTTAAATGAATATGATGATGACAGTTGATGACGGCAGCGTGTAGCGTAAACAACAAACCGTAGATACAACCGATTTACCGCTGCAACCAAAAATCCAACCAATAGCTAGTCCAACAGGCAAACAGCAATCAGTTAAAAAAATTTCAACACGGTATTACAGCAAAGCCGGCGGTTAATACACAATACGCGGAGCGCTTCAATTATAACTAAAAATTTAAATTGGAAAAAATTTAACACCGTTTAAAAGAAAATTGTTATTTTAAAAAAAATTTTAATATCGTTTTGAAAGTAAATTAATTTAATAAAAAATAAAATAATTTAATTTAAATAAAAAAAGTAAAATTAACAAAATTTCAAAGCGTAAATCTTAAAAAAATTCAACGTAAAAAGCTGTTAAAAATTTTTGAAAATTTCTTGCTTTTTAATGCCAAAAAGTATACGCTAATGTCGCGCTTAATTTACACCACATCAACAAGCACCAGCTATAAGTCGCAGTCGCGTTCGAAACGGAAAATTTGTGCAAATTTATAACTTGCAACAGCAACTGTAACTAACGCGTTTCGTGTGTGTGCAACAATTTTTATTTAATGCTGCGCAAAGCAATTCAATCAAGCAGAGCCAAGCTTGCCAACCAAAATCATAGCAAATAAGTGTGCAAGTTAATTTTTCAACTACGAAATTTGGTTACAATAAAATATATGCATATATATAGAAAATATTTTTTAAATGAAAAATCATATATCAACTGTTCTGTGTGAAATGCGTAGTGATTTCAAAGATAATCATCAAGAAACAATTAATAAAATGATACAATTTGGCACCGTTAAATATGGTATCGTCAAACAATTGAAAGACCGTGCGCACAGCGTGGAGAAAGGTGAGTGTGCATTGAAAATTGCCAAATTTATTTTCGTTTTAAAGCTGGATTTGTCGTTTAGGTGTGTTTGGGGGTTGGTGTTATTACAAAATAAAATAGGGAAAGGCGTTAAATATTAGCGCTTAGCAAAATTAAAATTTTGCGAGGTGGGAAAATATGTTAGTCAAATGTTATAGATTGCGTTTACTCAATTTCGAGGTTGGAAAATCGAAAATAAGTGCTTTGAGATTTTGGAAAATCATTTTCTAAAAAGTCATTGAAAATTTTGTTCATATCTTCTGGTAGCTGCTATTATTTACTGTGTTGCTATGTATAAATTACTGCATAGTGGCAAAGTAATTTATTAATTAAATAGCTTCAACTCGATTTTTTTTCGGAAATTCGTTTTGTTACTAGAGAGCAGATTTAGTAATATTTTTAAAGTAGACTTGTTATAAAAATTATTAGAAAAATATATTTTATAACGTAATTATAATTTTTTGAAAAGATATATTTTTAAAACATCCATTTTTCTGTACTAATAAAAAACTTTTGATTCAGTTTTAAGGAAAATTCCTTTCATAGCAGAGGCTATGAGAGAGAGAGAGAGATTATATTCAATAAATATATGCAGTTTAAATAAAATAATAGTAATTTCGGTGCCTGAAATATGTGTCATATTCTTTTAATTTTGTACAAACTTCTTTTCATTATAATTATAAAATTCATTAGAAAAAAAATGTAAATAATTAAATTTACGAAAAAATCGTTATAGACGTTTACTGAAGACAAAGAAAGAAATATTAAAAGAATTAAGTTTATGAAAAAAACGTTTTAGACCGTTGAATGCTCCTCCTTCCTTTCCTACAAAATCCCCAAAATGAAACATCCTTTTAAGTAGTTGGCAGCGAGTTACAAATTTCTTTCTGATAATAAGAAAAATATAGAAAACCCTTAATGCATATATATGTATATACAAATGTTTATAAACAACTGCAGCAGTCAATATTTTTAACTTAAATCGCCGAATAATAGGACGCGTCAACCCTCACCTTCCTAACGGGGACTGATAACCGTTAAAACAACAACAACAGCACGCGTCAACTTTTTCACACTAACTTTACTAGATTCAAACATTTTCCTGTATAAAAAAGATACATATGTATGTATATGACTTACCTCAACTTTATAAAAACACTTTGACTTATTTAAAAGTAGTCATAAACCCTTTTAATTTTTTTTCGAATATATTTTTTTTATTTTGAAGGTAGGAAATGTATTAAAAAAATTGTTTAGTTCAAATATTTTTTCTAGTTTGGAATTTATTTAAAAAAAAAAAACTTTTTTTTTGGAATATTTCTTTTTTTTAGTTAGAAAATTCATCTTTAAAAAATATTTAATTTGAATTTTTTTTTAAGCTAAGAAATTTATCTTTTTTTCGAATACTTTTTTTAAGTTAGGAAAATTTTTAAAAAATATTTATTCGTCCTATTTCAGAAAATTTAAAGTTTGCATTAAATTGAGATTTATAAAATTTTACGTCAATAAATATCAAATATTTGTTGCGTTTTTCGTATGTATATACAGAAAAATATGTATATACATAATATCCTTAATACGAGGCTACTTTACGACTTGCCGTCGGTGTTTTTTAAAAGAGTTTTATTTTTTGGTAGAAATTAAAAAAAAAAATTCTTCTAAAATGTTGAAACGCTTCATTTTCGAACTTTATACACCTTCCTTAACATAAAAATAATGACCATATTATTACTAAATATTTACATTTTGTATAAAAAAAGGATGTATAAAAGTTATGAATATATTTTTTTATTTTTTTGGTGTTTTTTTGTTTTGGAGTGAACTGATTTTGAATTAGAGTAATTTTGTTGGCTAATATTTAGAGACTTTTTGATTCGCATTTTTAAAAACTTCAATATAGCAAAATATTATCAGTTAATATTTAGTTCAGCATCAAAAGTTGTAAATATATACAGACATACATACATATGCGTATAAAAATCGATATTAAGTTTTTTCTATTGATTCCGATTCACTACATCACATTATATATGTAATGTCGTAAAATTTCAAATTGCCGCTCTCATATATTTAACCAGTATATAACCAATATATAACCCTGTTACCCAAATTTACCTTTAAATATGAGTGGTTTCATTACATTGCTTTTTCTTCGCCTGTCAACTTATAAAAAGTAATGTTAGATTATTTTGCATTTTAGGTGACGATATATGGCATATATCGTCTTGGTTTAATAGATATTATAACTTTTTGTCTTAAAGACATTCATATAATTTATTTTATATAGTTTTTCAAATCAATTTATGTTCAAACCAACTTATTAAAAAAATTATCAATTTCATATCTACAAATTAATTTAATAGCATTATGTTCCTACACCTACACGCGCCCATACATAATTACATAAAACAAAAACGCAACGCAAACACATATTTATGCATTCCAATTTGCTGTAAAACTTAATTAAAAACGCCCTAAAAGTCGTTGAGACAATTCGAAAAATATTAACGCTAAATTGGCAAAAACGGACACTGCCAGCGCTAGGAAAAATTAAGAGAAAACAACAAAAAAGCTAAATATTGTACGACATACAAATTTTTATAAGTGCGAACCTACAAATATATAAATAAATAAACATATATACTTACATATATGAATTAATATGATAGGTAGCCGCCAAACCACCACACACCTAATATTTTTGTATGCAAATTTTGCTTTCAAAATCAATTAAAAAATTATATATATGTGAAACTACTTTGGGCGCACAGGCATTTAAATAGCGAGTATTATAGAAAAATAAAAGAAAAAAGCGCAAATGACAGACAAACATTGTTGAAGAAACCGAAGATGAGGAAGATGAGCTAGAGGCTGCATGCGAAATACACATATGTACATATATGAGTTTGTTTTTATTGTATTTTTCAACTGAAATGAACCGGTAGTTGCGATCTGACACTCTGCAGTTGATTGGTACGCGGTTGTTGGTTGCTTAGTAGGCCCATTTGGTGCTTTTCTTCAATGGCTACTCAGCTGCCGGTTTGTGTACCCAAACTGCTGGTGACATATTTTTTCAGACTTATTGTTGCCGCCGAAATTTTATACAACTTTTGGTCATTTGATTAATCATAAAATTCGGTTTAGCGCTTAATAATAATCCATAATAAAGCAACAAAATTGAATAATTAAAAATATATTATGTGTGTATTTTGTATATGATTGTGTGTATATGTATGCTATATGCCTGTTGTTTTTGTTTCGGTGGGGCGTGTATGTTTTCAACAGCGCGTGCATAAGCGCGTATATGAAAATTTGAATTTTTATGACACATACTTACATACATAGTTTCTTTTAGATGCTTATGGCTTTTTAAGCGACTTCTTCTTTAATCAAAACTAAAAGCCTTTCCGTTAGCTTAAAATGCGTTTTAATAGCTTATATTTGTTATAGTTCAAAAATATGCTTTGACGTAAGCAAAAAATTATGGTTATTATAAACGAAATGTGGGCAATGTGGCAATTTTGAATAGTTATCAGTAAATATGAATAAAATTTGTGGTTATAGTTATAATTAGCGAAGCTAGTTTATAGCCATTATGAAGTTTTGCGTGTATGTATAGATAATTTTATTTATAATGTGTGTGTTTTTAGTTGTATGTATATGTTTTATGTATTTTAGTATGTATGTACATGGTATATGCTCTTTATGAACCAATTTCTGAACGAAAGGCTCAATATTTATACATTCTTATAAGAGAACCGAGGAAATTATGAAGAAAAAATAACTTTTAATTTTATATCTTAAAAAGAAATTCAAAAATTTTATATGAATGAGGCCGATATATTATTTTATAGCTTACTCTCTTTCAAATTTTATACTTGTTTTAATAAAA